TTTTTGATTTAGCAGCCGGTATTTTTAATTAAATAAAGAGATTATCTGTCACAAATGGGTTGCTGTCCTACCTGAAGAAGAGCAGAGTGGAAGCACACCAAGGACAGGCACCTTAATTTGTCTGTTGGTGCCAGCAGCTTAGGGGTTGGAGAAGGGGCAATGAGTTTGAGGACAAAACTGTAAAAAGGATAATGGGAAGTTTGGGAACAACTCCTGGGAAGCACAAGGCCCTGTCCCTGTGCCAGAGCAGGCACAGATTGGCTGTTTTTGAGGAAACCCTGAGCTGAGGGAGATGAGACAGAAGGGGAGGGTCAAGCCCTGCTGCAACCCCAACATGACAAGAGGGTGGTGGATCACTCTGATGAATTAAACTTCACAGTTACCTTTTAATGCACCTACAGCTCCTAGGGACAGTCTGCTACCCCAGTGCAGAGCTGCCTCTTGGCTATCCAAAGCTTAAATCTCTTTAAAAATAAAACCAAGGGGTCTGTAGGGACTCGAAGCAGTGGTTCTGAAGTGGGCTGTCACAATCTCCTGCAGAACAAGTAACTGCCACTAACTGAAGAACTTTGTCTTCAGAATGAAAGGCCAATTATTTTACAACTTTGCTGTAATTCTAAAAGAATTTAGCCCTTCCAGTGGTAACAAGGAATATTCTGTTGCCATCAGGTCTGATTTTGCTTTATCCTTAGCTCAAGAGGAGATGCTCAGACCACATGGGATTCCTGGTAATTTTGCAGAACCTTACCAGTTCAAAACCAACAAATTGAGACAGTTGAGCATCGGTTCCATACGTGCAGCAGTTACCCTTTCAGTTTGCATCTGCAGGTATGGTTTCAGGGTTCCCAAAAAACGCCTGCCCTCTCTTTACTGCTTCTCTGTGCCATCCCAGAGGAAGAAGATGCATCATCTGCCAACATTCAAGCCCCAGCTCTGTACAAGGAGATGCACTTACTTAAAGTAGAAGCCTGCTGGGGGCAGCTCCGAGGCCGGCTCGTTGGCCACTGACCACATCACAACTGAGGGCCTGTTCTTATCCCTGCGGATCAGCTCCTCCATCACAGCCAGGTGGTGATTCAAGGACTTATTCCCAAAGCTCTCGCTGGAAGACAAGAGGTGAGACCCAGTGAGGTGAGGGCATAAAATCCATCCCCCTTTGCTTTTCCCTGTGAAAACCGGGGTCCATGAGCCCTGCTGAGTCTTGACACTGAGTGTGGCTCCTGCCCCACTTCCCCAAAGCTCCCTGCACAGTTCAGGGCCGTGGTTTGGGCTCATTGACTGGGTCATGTGGCAAAATGCCCTTGGGTTGCCCAACCCCTCCAGGCACAGGTGGCGCAATGGGGCGATTTCTAAATAGAGCAAAGTACTCCCGTTAGCGGGACAACGCCAGGGGACAGTTTTGAGGCGGCTCAGAGAGGAAGAGAGGAGCAAGGGCAGGGTGTGCTGAGCAGTTCCTTACGGCAGTTTGATGCCCACCCCCGGGCACTCGTCGATGACCACGATGCCGTAGGCGTCGCACAGGTCCATGATCTCCTCGGCGTAGGGGTAGTGGCTGGTGCGGAACGAGTTCGCCCCCAGCCAGCGCAGCAGGTTGAAGTCCTTCATAATCAGGGCCCAGTCAAGGCCTTTCCCACGGATCTGGGGAGAGAGAGAGAGATCACCCCCTGTCCCACTGCTGCGCTGGGGCTTCTCCCCGTGCGTTTGCCAAGCACCACGGCTGGATCCACCTCCGCCACTGAAAGGCAGGGAATCCGAGAGCAGCTATCACAGTCAGAGGGGTTTGGGTAGGAAGGAACCATAAAGACCATACAGTTCCACCCCCCTGCCATGAGCAGAGACACCTCTCACTAGACCAGGTTGCTCCAAGCCCCGTCCAACCCAGCCTTGAACCCTTCCAGGGATGGGGCAGCCACAGCTTCTCTGGGCAACCTGTGCCAGGGCCTCACCCACCCTCACAGTGACCTGCTCCACTGCCCCACCACCCCCACTGCTGACCAACTTGTACGTCAGCACGTCTGACTGGAAGCCATGGCTGGAGATGGCTCAGCATCTCCACCAGCACACCCCAGGCCCACCCATGCACCCTGAGGGACGTCAGGACTGTGGCAGGACTGGGCACGGTGTCCCCTTAGTGCCGGTAAACATTCAACCCCTGGCAGCTCCCAGCCTGGCTGTGAGGAAACAGCCCCGTGGAGAGGAGGGGAGGCAGGCAGGTGAGGTAAGGGGCCCGTGGGTGCTCACACTCACATCAGCATCCTCGTGCTTGTTGACGCCGTGGAAGTAGAAGGGCCTGCCGTTGATGAGGAACTGGGTGCTGGTGACGTGGACGGTGCGGATGCCGACCGGGAGCGTGTACACGTCCTCCAGCAACGCCCCGCGCACCTGCGCCTGCATTTTCACCTGGATGGCCAAGGAGGAAGGTAAGGGACGTGCTGGGGTTCACAGGGACGCCCTGTGCTCCCTCCCCTCGGTCTGTCAGGGCTATTTTGACCTCCTGTCCACCTCCCAGCCCTGCCTCGGTGCACAGCCTGCTCCTCACTGCTGCTTCATCTCTCGTCCTCAGGGTAGGAGCCAGGTCTGACTAAACAGAAAATAGAAATCCAAGCTGGGGAGGTTAAAGGATGATGAATGAGCCCCTGGATGACCCTTGTGGGGCTTGCTCACCCCAAGAGCTGCAGTGTCTTTTCCCCATCCTTGTCTGGCCCATTTCATCCCCTCCCAGGCAACACAGTAGGACTCCTTCTCTGCCCTGCATCAGGCGGTGACTGACATGTCACCTGCTCACAAGAGATACAAACTTGATACTCTGGAGACTCACAGCAGCTCATCTGTACTGATTTTTGCACCAAAACATCACTACTGATCCTTAACTCACAGAGAGTCCTCCAAGGCTCCAGCTATTAAAGCTGAACTCTTGTCTTGCGGAGTGGGAAGAAAGCTGAGTGCATGGCAAAGCCTGTGGAAGAGGTTGGCAGCTGCTCCTCAGAGACTCTGCTCTCAACTTGCAGGGCACCTCCTCCCCTGTGTGATCTCAAATGGGATGGACTGGGCCCTAAATGTGAAGGGGAAGCACCTCAGAGCACACATGTTCACTCCAGCCGTGTCCTTCTCACTGCCAGACCTTTCAGTTCAGCACCCAGGGAGCTGCCAAGGCTTGATTTGATTACTGCCTCATTAGCAATGCCACACTGGTCACATGAACAGGACCCGTGAGAGAAGAGGAGATGGGCCATATGGCAGATCCTTAACCAAATTAAACAGAGAGAACACACAGAAAGGAAGAAATGCCACTTTACCTCTAAGGAGTAGAGGTATCCAGGGTTCTCGTGCATAAGGTAAGGCCACCAAAGATTTGGGTTCAGGACTTTGAGCTCTCCCTCTGGCCCATCTCCCGTAGCAACCACTTTCCCCTCCTGGTCACGTAAACTCAGGGACAAGGAATAGGCTGTGCTGCCAACAACTGACACCTCGTACTGCACCATTGCTGATTCAAAGGAAACAACAGACCATCAGAGACTGACACAGCAGGGAAAATACTTGTATCACATGTTGGGGGGTTTTCACATACAACAGCATTAAAAATGAGGGAGATGTAGAACAACAGTGGCATGAAGTGAGGGTAAGAAGCAGGACCTGTCAGTCTTGCAGTCTAGAATTTTCCAACAAGATTTGTTGTGTACCACACAACTCCCACTTGGAGATTATCCTGCTCTAAATGGCAGGAAGACTGCTCCTACTGAGAAATTCTGCTTTGAGAAGCACCTGATCATGCCTGGACTTTAACAAAATTAGTCTCTTGCAACAACTCCTTGGTTTTGTTACTGTTTCTGAACCCTTCACCACATTCCTGCAGCTGCTGAGCTGTGCAATAGGCCAGCTCAGCTTCAAGAGAAAGCCACGAGCAAACAAATTCAGTCAGGCTTTTGCAGGATATTTTCTCTGCTGCTCTTGTCATCTCCATTTGGAGTCTGAGGTAGCTGCTGTAATTGTTCTGGACCTACCAACATGCTCTGATGAAGTAGTTGTCACAGTAATGTCATCTATGTAGGCAGAAGGAGTGGTGTAAAGCACAACCGGGCGATGGATTCCAGCGTAATTAAAGAAATCAAACTTGATGTTCTGCACAAAATAGTTCTTGGGATACCTGAGTGAGCAAGACAAGGAGAAGTGGCTACATTATGCTTCACTGCACAAGAACTGACGGCAGCATGTGGATGCTGGCAATGCAAAACAGTCAAGCAATCACAGCTGCTGGCTGGTAAAATAGTCTTTACAACAGAGTTGATCTGTCTTTCAGTGGTGCTGCTGCCGCTACACTAAAGGATTCTGCCAGCTAACAAACATCTGGAGCCCAAAGAGTTTGATCCTTCAGCTTCCAGCTGAATTCAAGCTTCTCAAATCTGCCATTGATTCCAGCTTGACAAATCACTTAATCTCAGCTCCCTGTCTATAAAAGAGATGCAATCACCCAGTGCTGATTTCTTGTAGCACCAAAGCTTAAACTCCTCCCTGCTGCTCAACTGCCAAATTTCAGCATAAATATGCTTTTGTGAGTTGCTTGGAGGGTTTCATGCACCAGCAGCTGAATAAATTCCCACTCCCCCATCCCTGGGATTAGCCCAGCAGTGCAGCACCTTGGCAACTCACCTTGTTTTGTCAGTCATGTACTGGATGGACCCCGGGGGCAGAGTGTGGGGTGTCAGGGTGTTGTTGACCGCGACAGTGATGCGGCAGAGGGTCCCTGGGCTGCCCTGGACAACACTGCTGATATCAGCTTCAAAAGGGAGGTGTCCCCCTTCATGCTCCACCACTTGCACCCCGTTGACCCACTGCAAGAGAAGACACCCCAAAAAATGGAGTTACTGGGGGTTTTTTGTGGCAAGCAAAGCACAGAGAAGGGAAGGAGCCCAGCGAAGGGCAGTCGGGATTCCCAGCAACACTGGACCTTTTTCTGGGCTCTTGATCCTCAAAGGATCAATCCAGAAGCCCTTCCTTTGCCAGGAGATAGGTCTGGTTTACCTACAAATGTCACCGAGAGACACAGTAGTGAGGAAATATTTAGGAACTAGTCCTGATACTGGAGCATCAAAGAGAAACTGGAAATCCCAGCCAACTTCTCGGCTGGGGGAAATCTGGGCAAGAGTGAAGAAAACAGCAAAGGGATACAAAATCTAGCAAAGGGATACAAGTAGGCAGAGATGTCTTTGCTGAGCAAGCCACGAGCCCAGTGGCAGTGCAGCAGAATTTTGGAAGCACATGGACAATCTCACTCACCACGATGGAGTAGTAATGGGCACTCCCAAAACGCAGCACCACCCTGGTGCTGGGGGAGTCCTGCAGCCAGCGGGCAGGGAGCAGCACCTCCTTCTCATACCACACCCAGCCGATGTAGTTCTCCAGGCTGGGGTCCTGGGTGATGTCATTGAAGCTGGAGGGCACTGGCATGTCAATCACAGGGCCAGTCTGCCGGGAATTTCATGGAAAGGGAAGGAACAGATCATTTAAAAAGAGAAATGCTACTGCTGGAGGTGTCCCCTTACAATCCCTTTGCTAAGGGGGGAATAACTTGGGAAAACCTGTTTAGAAAGTGGTGTGGTCTGTCACAGGTCCTGCACAAGTCCTGATTAGCAGCAGGCACGGGAATGTGCCATTTTCTGCAGGAAACAGCTGCTCATATCTTTTCCCTTCCTGGTGTACAATGAAGTGCTTTCGTTAATGGCTCTGGTGTCATGGAATCAGAGAGGTGAGGGAGGGAAAAAACCAGCCCAGGTTGTTGGTTTAGCCCAGGGCTTCCCACAGCCTGTATTTTTTCCTGCACAGCTCCAGCTGTTGGGTGAGCAGTGCAGGGGTTGTTGGGGTGCTGCTTGTCAGGCTAAGAGCTGTAGTAAAAGGGTGGCAAGCCCAATGGATATTTTGGGACAGATTCCTCAGGGAAGGTTCATGGAGACTGACTGGAATGAGGTCAGCCTTTCTCAGCCCCTGAAAGCAACAGAGATTCCTTGGGGTTACAACTGAATCACTTCACTTGCTTATTTTAAGGTAAGGGTTAGAGGGTGGCAGTGTCACAGCACACTGAACATCGAGGTGCTGTTGCCAAACAGAGCTGCTCATTTTTAGCACCTGCTGAGCTCGTGATGTTGCACAAACTAGGGCTGCAGCAGCTTCCCCTTTCCTCAGGAAGCCTTTCCAAGGAGAGGGGAACAAGAATGGTCCAGTTGCCCAGGGTGAGCATCATGTGCATGGCTGACTCAGCACCAGCACTGCAGAGAACTCAGTGCCCTTATCAGACACTAGAAAATCCCAGTGGGAAAATCCTTGGATGGTGAAGCGGATTTTCTAGTATTTGATGCAGGACATCCTTTGACTGGGATGGCCAGGACATGTGTGTCCTTCTGGGAGATCCTCTGATGCTTAAAGCAGGTTAAGTGTACATGTTTAAGCCTCCCTTTGTCGGGGATTCCTCTCCACTGGCTGGCACTTTTTGCAGTAACTTCCAGCAGCACAGTGTCTTTCAGCTCTTCTCCCCTTCCACAATTTGACCAAAAATTTAGCCAAAGGATTAAAAAGTAAGGATTATTAATAACTTATACACTTTATGCATAGAATACATAACTTCTTTCTTTTCGGTAATGGTCTTCATTCTCTAACAGACTTCAGTTACACTAACACTGTGCTTATCAGCACTCTGCAACTTCGAAATAAATAATTCCAGTGCCCAATCCAGGCACGCTGCTGTTTATCCTGAGCTGCTGACGGGCGGGTCAATGCTGTGCGAGGCCAGGCTGGCTCCTTCAGCTCAGGGCAGCTGAAGGTGGCTGTAGTTCATTCAAACGGTTCCTGCCCTCAGAGCAGCCGCGGGATCATCAGAAGGATCACCAGAGGCTGCTGATAATTAGGAACTGCCTTAGCAATAACCTCTGCACGGCCCTAACCGAGGGCAGGGCGGGGGGCGAAGGGCAGCGGCTCCGCAAGCCCGGCGGGGAAGGAAGGGGGGAAGGAAGGGAGAAAGGAAGGAAAGGGGGAAACGGCGCTCTCGGGGCAGGATGAAGCCTGGTTTGGGGGAGTCCCGCACCCCGACCCCCGCGATGGAGCCCCCCATCCCCCCCGCCCCGCCGCCCCCGGTACCTGCCGGAGCGGCTGCCGGTACCAGCGCTGCGCGAACCCGGCGTCCCTGCCCGGGGACAGGTCGGCGCGGAAGCTCCAGAGGCCGCCGAGCTCCTTGCGCTCTCGGGAGGGGGTGTCCCTGGGGGGCAGCATCCCGGGCAGCGCCGCCGAGAGCAGCGGCAGCAGCAGCAGCAGGAGCGGGCACAGCCCGGCCGTGCTCCCGCCCGGCGCCAGCGCCGCCATCTTGGCTGTGGGCAGTGCCCGGCCGGGGGCGGGGCCCATCCCGATCCCTGTCCCGCTCCCGGTCCCGCCCCAAAGGGATGGGATCTGGTGCTATCCCACGGGTCACCGGCGGGCAAAGCCACCGCTATCCTGGCTTGAAGGAGCTTGCAGGCCTTGGGCTGCGTCCGGGATTGGGGGATTTCCTCGGGCGGAGTGCGTCTTTCATTTGTTTACTTATTTACCCATCTATTTATTTATTGTTTTGTTGCTTAGGGGGGTCTTAAGTATTGCCTACTTTTATTGATTAATTTATTGAGTTATTGTTTCATTGCTTGGGGGCTTAAAGTTAATAATTGCCTAGTTTTTGTTATTTGTTTGTTTGTTTACTGTGTAACTGCTTAGAGGCTTTCATTTATTGATTGCCTGGGAATGGGAGCAAGCAGCTGGGAACAAGGAAGGTCAGGTTGGCTGAGATGTGTGAAGGCACCACGTGGACAAACACCAGCCTCCCCCAGCAAACAGACACCCTGCTGCTCTGCACCTCCCATCCCTCGAGAGCTCGAACACCCCACAGCCAGCTCCTCTGCCAGGTTCACACCCCAACCCTCGCCAGGGCTGAGGAACCCGAAGAACAAAGACGTAAGATGAGTTTTGGTGAACTACAGACACCCCAGTGTTTATTAACTCTCTCCCCACACTCTAAGCTTGTTCCTTCAGCCTCTTGAGCAGCTCCCGGAGCTGCTCGATCTGGGCGGACACGCTGCTCTTGGCGGTGCCGCCCAGGGCCGTGTACTGCTCCACGCTGCTGACCACGCTGAACACCTGGGACACGTCACTGCCGAACAGGGGGCTGGGGGCAGAGGGGAGGGGTGTCAGTGGACAGCACGGGGGGCTGGGGGCTGCTGAATATGCTCATTGTTTATAGAGGTGGTGAGAGAGTGAGGACAGAGCCTTTTCCAAGGGGAAAGGCCTCCTGCAGCTTTGTTTCTACACGGCCTACCAGAAGATGCTGATGGCAGACCAAAGAGGCAGCTCCAAGGGGAGACCGAGGAAGTTTGGAGCCAAACCCCTCAGGGGACTGGTGATTGCAGGCCAAGGCATGAGTTTCTCCCAGTCCCTCCCAACAGCTGCTGCCTGTGCCCCACTGGGGCAGAATGGAAGCAATGTTGTCCCCTTCAGTGTTTTCACTCCTAACAGGAACAGCCTTGATATTCAGGCCAGGAGGATTTTGGGGCCCTGCCTGGCCCAGGCACTTCGGGGAAGGGCTCATTCCCAGGGAGTCTGATCCGTGTCTATGGAGGGAAATCAAGGCAAGGTGACAGTGACACAAACCTGATGCTCTTCAGGTCCTCCAGGCTGAGATTATTGATGGTGCTGCCTTTGGTCTCGGCGAGGTGGACGGCCTTGCCAGAGGCGACGTGGGCTTGTCTGAATGGCATCTGCAGTGAGAAGGGGACAGAACAGAGGGCCTCGTCTACCTGAGCAATTCTCTGCATCCAAAGAAGTCGCAGCTCCAGGTTTCCCTCTGATACTCACTCCTTTCCGAACCAAGTAGAGAGCCAGGTCAGTAGCCAACATCTCCGGGCTCAGTGCCCTCTCCATGTTCTCCTTGTTGATCTGCAGAAGGACAGTCAGATGGAGATGTTATCACCAGCTCCTCATTTGTTAGTGGTCAAACTGAGGGGAGTTCATCTGGAAGGGTGATGTCTCTAAAAGGATGCTCTGACCAGCTGAGGGGACCAAAATGAGCAGTGTGGGGGAGGCACTGAAGAGTTTTCATCCTGGGACTAGAGCTCTGTTCCCTGTGTTACAGAATGTGTGCCATGACCATGTTCGATAGCAAGAATCTGAAGAAGAAGCAGCCTTACTTGGAGGGTTGAAATCACTCCTGTGGCAACCTGGAGCACAGCGTTCAGGGTGTCTACAACATCAAAGACAGCCTCCTTGTCCTCCTGTGTTGGAACAGGGATGGAAACGGCTGTAAGTCAACCTGATGCAGCCCAAAAACCCAACAGGCTGAGCAGCCACCTCTACTGACTCCTCAAGAGAGCAGAAGACAGTTGTGTGTGCTCAGAGAGATGCTGTGAAAATCAACAAGGGCTTTACCTGCAGGTCCTTGTTGTAGGTGCTGGGGAGTCCTTTGAGGACCATGAGAATAGCAGCCAACTGCAGAGAGAGACAGGCAGGGCAGGGAGTTACAGGGCAAGGCACATCCCCCAGCACAGGTTCAGAGCCCAGACTGGGCACAGCTCTTAACGCAGAGGGACAAGGAAGAGGCTTCAGCCCTGGCAGGAGCAGTTTCCCCTCCCACTCCCTTCTTTCTCAGGCTCACCCGTCCGAACACTCGTCCAGCTTTGCTGCGGATCAGTTCCAGACTGTCAGGGTTCTTCTTCTGAGGCATCAGGCTGCTGCCAGTGCTGAAAGGTGGGTGCAATGGTGAGCAAGACCCCCCTCCACACAGACACAGCCCTTCAAAAGCAACACATAGGTCCCTCTTCCCTGTACACCTCTTTATGGTGCAGGAAAGCGGTGAACTGACTGAGCTTCTCTTTGGTTTTGCAATTTTCCTGGAGCAGCCACACAGTCCCACCTCTCAAAAAGGAAGCAAAAAGGAGGCACCTCCCCTGCAAGCCCCTCCAGGGTTGTTTCAGCAGGCCAGCCTAAGTGATGCTGTGACCTCAGAGAGGGAGGGCTGTGGTTGTGCCACTCTGGGAGACAAGGAGTCTGCTGGGATTGCAAACCCTGCTTAGTCAAGAAAGGGCTTTGGCAGCATTCCCAGCTGAGGAGGAAGTTCTCTCTGCCAGCAGTTGCCAGGGAGGAGTGTCTGGTGAATGCAGACATGGCTGAGTTACCCAAATGAGAAATAAGTGACCGTTGCTGAGGAGGATTCACCCTGAGGCTGCTTTTTAATGCTGTGTCAGCCTCGTGCACAGAGACCCAACCACTGCCCCGTGCTCTCAGCAGGGAAAAGCTAAGAAGGAGAGGCTGAGGGAAGGGATTTCAGCCCAGAGCTGAGAGACCTACCTATAGGCATCAGAGAGGGTCAGAAAGCCAAACTCGCTGGTACTGTAGATGATGAGATCCTCAGCCATCTTGCTAAGGTGGATCATCAGCAGGGTGGCAACAGACAGGAATTCCACTGCAGAGAAGGCAGGAAATCGGGGGGGGGAAAAGGTGTTTGCTTGACAGCTCAGGGACCCCTGACTAGAGCTTTGTGTCCTGATGATGGGTTTCAGCCCCCTTATTAAAGGAGGTCAACTGGAAAGGCCTCAGAACCTGCTTGTAGCAGTGCTGGGAAGAAGTGATGGAGTTGTGCTTACCCACAAAGTCTCTCTCACTGACAGCATCCATGCTGTTCAGGCTGATGGAAGCAAAGTCCAGCTCTGTAAGGAAGGGGATGGACACAGGAGGTCAGGCCTGGCATGACAGGAGCTTGAATGCACCAGGGTGCCCCAGTGTGCAGGTGACTGTGAGCCCTGGAGTGGTCCCAGGAACACAAACATCCTTAGTGGGGTCTTGGTTATTACCCCAGACAGCCAGGGGTGGTTCTGCTTATGCTCCCACCTTACAGACACCTCCTGTCCCAATGCAGTAAAAAGCCTCCTGGCTCTCCAAGTCACTTGGTATCCCACATCCCGTTCCTGAGTATAAGATCATACGCTTTCTTATTTACTTATTACCCTCCACCCCCATGTTAAGGTGCTGCAACACCAAACAACAACAGGCCAATGTGCCAGTACTTCCCCAGGTCACAGATATCGTGAGCAGTTCTGTGCCTCTCAATCACAGTGAGATATTTACCACTGCACAGAAGCTCTCTATCGATTCCCAGTGGGTTGCCAGCCAGAGCACCGCTGCCAGGGGAGAAAGAAACAGGAGTCACACATGATATCCTGCATATTCCAACCAAAACTGAGCTGAGAGAAGCTGGGCTTGCCCCCTCACAGCTCTGCAGTGCCTGTGGTATAGAGACCCTGGTGCCACAGGGGATGTACAGATCTGCCTCTTGGTCACATCTCAGAGCAAGGTGAGGGCTGAGGATCACACAAGAAGTAAACTTTACCTTCCCAAAGGCAGGACGTTGATCCTCCTCTTCACCTCCCCCAGGCGCTCAGAGTCACGGGTCAGAGCAACAGCATGGCTGGGGAGGGACAGGAGAGATGAAGCACCTGAAGCTGGAAAATGTCCCAGCCCACGAGGTAAGAATGGCCAAAGGATGGAGAGCAGGGAGTTGGTCACCACTGCCCAACCCCTGCTTGATTTCCAGGTTGGTCAGAGCCACACAGGAGCATGGGGAGTTCCTGTCCCAGTTTGACACGTTCCCTCTGGTTTGTCACCACCCCCTCAGAGGGGGATGCCCTCCTGGGCTCCAGCAGAGCAGCCCCCAAGGGTGGAGAAGCTCCTGCAGGCAGGGCTGAAAGGTGCTGACCTGAGCAAGAACTGGCTCCATCGGATGGGCTGAGCTTTCTGCAGGTGGGTGTAGCCAGGCAGGATGACATCGATTTCTCTGCATGGGAGAGCAGAGAAGGAGGTGAGAGCAGCTGTCAGGAGGGAGGGCAGGGGCAGGGCTGTCCCT